TTGCTGGAAGAACGTCAATTAATGTCTGCAGCAATACACTACCATTTTAAAAGTGTGGCAAACACAAGTGTTTCTCAGAAATTAAAAAAGCAATATCCACAGCAAAATGACATTTTAAAATACCTTGCCAGTCCACCCACATCAGGCCATCTATAAGATTCTTATAAAGCCTAATTAGTATCACAGCTATTGCTTCCTGTTTGTTGCTGTCCATACCAAGTTTTATGAGCTTTTTGCTGTCCATTCTCCCCTTTTCTGCAATTACAAATAGGAACCTATAACTAGCTTATCTTGAGTGACATGAAAACAAAATGAACCTAGAGAAACAGAAAAAGAGGAAAAGAAAACCACTTTTCAGATTCACTTGCATCCATTATGAATACCTATATTAAAAAAAAAGTCTCATTTGGCTCCCATAGAAGTAAATAGCTAAGGTGGAATCAAAGGAACAGTGTTTAAAGCACTCTTAATGTCAAAAATAATATTACTAGCTTTCAATAAAAAATTCAAACGAAATCTACTTGGCAGTATCCCTTAGAAAAAAAAAAAAGGAGAAAAATACACCATGGAGAAAAACGATCAGCAAAAGACTCATTAATTTTCCAAATGCTACAATTCAGTCCTGTGATTAGCCCCTGCCTAAGCCCATGCCTAGTTTAGTGCAGAACTGTGTGCCTGTGACTCAGGCTATTTTTCCATCACACTGCCTGTCCACAGCACTGCAGTGTATCTGCAGTTTTCACTGGCTTCAGTAAGCAAGACACACTTCACTACCCAGGAGCTGGCCCAGAGAATGCTCTGCCCTGAGTGACTGAAACAATGCACAAAGTTTTGAAGAAACCTGGTCAGTTCAGGGTATATTTTGCTGTAGGCAGAACATGCTTTCTGTTTTTTTCAGAAACTCTCAAGACAAGATTCAAAGAAATACATGGAACCAACTAAAAGTACTGAGTCAGAGGAAAAGACCGCCAAAAAGAAAGACACTTATTCCCAAGCATAAGATCCAAATTTTATTTTCCCTAGCCCCTTTTACATCACTGGCACTTTGTTAATCTACAGCTTCTCATTTAAGAAAGAAATTACACTCTTATACAATATTTACAGATTGTTTTGATCAGCATTGAACTTCTCACTCTAGACTCCTGAAACATTTATTTTGTTACATTTGGCATTTCTGCTGAAGTATCCTGCTTTCCTGACAGGATCAGATACCACCTTGTTATTCACATAGTCATGTTCTCTTTTTACCTTCTTTAGTTTTCAGAGTCATAAATTCCCATTTTCATTTAAGGAACAATGAGAAGAACAAAATAACAGCACTTATAAGAAAGTTAAAACACCTAATTAGCTAAAAGCTCACAGAAACAATCTAACATAAATATTCCACTCAATACTTGTCCTACTTTTTTTAGGACATGGCTCAGGCAGACAAGGTTTTTTTTTCCCCATAACTTTTCTTGAAAAGACTGACAAACATGTGCAGACAACAATATTCACACAAGAATGCATCAGAAGCTGGTCTTGGTAATGCCCACCAAAAAATCCTGAATCCAGAAGCCAGTATCCACCCAAAGCCTGACACTCATAGGTATAGTCTCTAAGCCAACTAATGCTTTAGGTGCTTTGCTTGCTTCTCTCCTCCATTTCAAAACTTTCTTCTTGCTGGGATGCTGTCTGTTTCTGACCTATTATCAACCAGAAACAACAACATAACTACACAGACAAGTTAAAAGGTTGACAAAAAGCTGCTTAAGCTGGCATTACCATAGCAAGATTGATCATCAATTAAACTCAAGTTTTTACATGACCAACAATTTGGAGCTCCTGGGTCAGTGGCATTATCCACACAGAAACTGAAATCCCTTACGGTCAGCCAAGGTCATTTTCAGCAAATGTTCCCAACCAACTTTGCCTTGACTGACATCCCAAATAAACTGGAAATAGAAATGCTGGCAGCCTTCAACATTCTTCACCTCCTAAAATATTGTTCAGTGAAAAAAAACCCCTTTTTAGTTCAATGTTTGTCCTTTTAAGACATCTTAAACAACCACTAACACAAGCAGTGTTTCATTTGCTACTGCATACTGGTCCAGCTTCTGTCCATCTCTTCAGTGCTGATAACCTAAAGATCTTGCAAGATAAAAATTAATCTTTGAAAAGCCCAAATACAGATTACTTCAGAGTTACACTCTTGTGTTTATAACAATAATGCTATTTAATTCTTAATTATGCACAGATAATGTAACATGTGTTTTTATCTAATATTGATATTTCATCAGTGGCTGGACTCAATCTTAAAGGTCTTCTCCAACCTAAATGACACTATAATTTATATATGGTATAAATACATAAGCTGTATACAAGAACAAGAATACAAGGAAATATCTGTCTCCAAAAACTAATCATAGCTGATTTATAAACAAGAAGAGAAGTCTATTGAAAGTGAGCAGTCTATTGAAGTTTACTTACAAAGCTTCATACTGGGACTTACTCATAAACAGTATCAAAAGCAGTAAGCCTGATTAACAGTTTCCTTTCCCATGTGGATGCATGAACTTCTCTGAATGTTTATTTCTTCTGTCTTATATTTGAAAGCACTTGATTAATTCTTAAAATTAAACCACTAAAGAAACAGTTCCTTTGACTTGTCTTTGATCTAATGTAATAACTCCAGAAGCTTCATTAATCTAATGATTAAGTCTGCAACTAGGTAGCTCCTCAGTGTTTTAAGGTAGAATGTGTAGAATCTCGTCTTCATTCTGTAACTACAGCACAGTCTTTCTTTTTTAGCATATGAAGTTGTTCTAAGGTTATCTGGCTTCAGCAATTCAGAACTATTTTTCTGTTTCTCTCCTCTTTAACCCACTTTATTCAATAAAACTATTCTGAATAATTTCAACTTACTTCTAATGTTTTTTGCTTCCTAGTGTCCAAATAAGTTTGTAACTCTCAATGCAAACAGTTGCAAAACAATGCCAAAGTTGTTTTGGAAACCTCTGAATCCATCTTCTAAAGGAAATATGACTCATGTTAGTGTTTATAAATGTCACCTAAATCACAATCTCAAACCTAAAATTTTTAAGCAAAATTTAGATACCAATAAAATGTACTATGGTGCCTTTCATTTGATACACCACAGTGCTTTCTGTATACTGACCTATTTACTCTCCTCTGAATACTTTATCTACACACTATAGTAAATACATAAAGTAGAAGAGTTTTCAACTTATTGCTATCTCTCCCAGACATTTTATTAGATGCTTGCTAAATATTCAACCATAATATACATAGTTATGCCCGTGGTTAGGAGATGAAAGCCTACATTACTTCACTCAGGAAATGAAGTGCAGGTTTCGGTCCTTTCATTGCAATATCCTTCAGTGCATGGACCAGAAATGCTTTTGCACTGAATTGTTCAGCAAGTGAGTGATGCAATGGCTTCCACAGCTAAGCCACTGTATGAGTTCTAAGGCCACAGGGTTAATACATAGTGATAAACTATTCAGTTATAATTGTAGCTTTCATGCCAGTTTAATTGAATACCATGAATATTACACAGTTAAAACTCGCTCTGTTATTTAGCAGAAATTTGAATTTTGATTCCCCTGAAATCTAAGTGATTCAACATGTATTAAGATATGTTATCTCACAGCACAAATCAAATTCACGGGAATTTTAACATTGATTAAATTAACCCAAATATGCTGGGGAGTACGAAAGGTGGGAAATCTTCAGGAAGGCTGTACATAAAGAAGTGTAATCTCATAGAATACAACTGTCCAGTGACCAGTTCTCCATTTTAGTGAAATGTAAGCAAAAATTTAAAGAGGATAATTTTCCCAAAGATACCACTTCAATTCTATTTCTTTCCCCAACATAAATGATAATAACATGATGGAAGAGTTTTAATTTCAGGTTTGAGTTTTCTAAGATCACTAATGGTTCCTAAGATCATTAGTGTGTGGTAAGGTAATCTTAAGGCATAGAAGCAAAAGGATTAGTGAGACCATTTTTTATGATCTGCAATACAACACAGGGTGAAAGACTTCTCTGAATAGCAGCAATCCTGACTTCCTGCATTAAGAATTCTGGGACAAATTTCTACGATGTCATCAAGACAGCATGAGTCTTCCACATGAAAAGCTGGCCCACAATAAAAAAAATTATGTAATAACAAAGACTTCAGTGCTAGAATGCTATCAAATACCAATGTTGCAGCTGCCCACATTGCAGTGTAATAATGTGAAACATAAATAAGAGGTGTAACAATCAAATCTAAACAGTTACATGACTGAATTTCCCCAGATCAAAGTATCTTTGATACCTGTGAATTTCACCTTACCACAAGGAAAAACAGAAATTGAAACTTAAGGTAATATGTAAAAGGCACATTTACATATCAAAGCCACATTTACTAATTTCCACATGGAGTAATTCCTATATATTTAAATTAAGAATGTATTTTGTTAGTAATAAAATCTTTATTAAAAATTTTTAAATAACAGCAAACCTATGTTGTTAGGACAGTTTTGCCTACACAGTTTCAGTCTAGGAATAAGTTTTGGATCCTAATGACAATATGTTGTTATTTCTTATGTGATCTATTTTCTCTACATAAAGTGTCTTTACAGTTGTTATCAATGCATTAATTCCTGACAGTTACAGATGATTTTAGGTATTCCTGGGTTGAGTCCTCATCACTAACACTTCTGAAAAGCTAAGTTACAACAGTGAACTCAGTCTTGTGTCAAATTACCAGAAAACCTTCCCAAGACCTTTTTGGCATTCTGTAAACCAACATTTCACTATTGGTGTGCATCCCCTCCTCTTCTCTAGATACAATTGAGATTTTGTGTTTTCTAAGTCACATCAAAAATAGATTAAGCACTGGATAAAAATAGCTAAAACTTTTAAATTGTTTCCTGTAATTGTACATTTTCCCTTTTGAACTTGCATCTTCAGAGGACAGACATTTATGCCTGAGGCAAAGTGTTACTCACTGTGAACAAGGAAGCAAAAATCTTTCCACATCAGCAACAGAGTAAGCTTTGTGAATCCTTCTGCATCATATTCCACCACACCACTATCAACAAAAACACAACAAAAAAAATGAATGCAGTTTTTGCCTTCAAATACTGGATGATGAATATGTAAATTTTGTAATACAGGGATTGTTATTTTCGTTTGTTTGCTCAGAATCTTCCAGGATTTGCTTTTTTTATAAGCAGCTACAATTTTCTAACTAATTTTAAATTAGATTAAACTTTTAACCTTAGCAATTGTCTTAATTATCCTGTGGTATTGGAGTTTTTTACCCAAAGGAAAGACATTTTCAGTTTAAAATATACTTTTGAATGAAAGAAGACCTGGTACCACATCTACAGTCCTAAATTGTTAAAACTGCAGAGACACAAATTCCCTGTACCCAAATTAAGATTCTTCTTCATTTTTGTAGTGAGTGAGGGGATAAAACTGAAAATAAGAAGGCTGCGAAGAGTTTAAATTTGAAAATTTGGAAGAGTATATATAAAAAATACAAAACATGAGATAATAATGAAAAATTCCATATAGAATACTTGTTTGATTAAAAGTTTCAACCATCAGAAGCTGGTATTCTCTAAGTGTGAAGCAGTATCAGAACTCATGAACCACAATGCAGATGTGATATAGTAATAGGCACACGTGGCCCTTTTTATAATACAGTTTTCTCAGAAGAAAAGGAAATGTCTTGATAAAGATTAAGCTTGCATTGGCTGTCTACTCATACATCCAGTTGAAGTTATTGTTATCTATTTATCACTGTATTAAATTTGGGTGAATGCTAAAAGAAAGCTGTTTTCCTAACCTCACTTGAGAGATTTGAAGGGTTCCTGAATATCCATGTCACTGGTATCACCTCTTGGAAGCACAAACCCCTCATCTCAATTAGCTAAAGGCTTGGACTCTGGCTCAATTTAGGCAGGAAACCAAAGTGCCAACCCTTCACAGTGCCATGGCTGCCCTGATTAATTGATTTGTGAAGCTAATGTGTTATCATTCCTGGCCATGCACCTTTCATCTGCAGGAATGCAACATGACCCAAGGGCCTCTTCTCTTGAGAGACAGAATACTGGTTGTTGGTGGGAACAGCTGTCTCCCAGCCCTACCTTTACACTGAGCAGCAGCTTCTGGCTCTTGCAAGGCTTGGAATCACACCTGCTTCCCTATTTTCCCACCTCAGTTACCGCCTGTTAGTGAAAGACCCCTTAAGTAATTTATTCAGAAACAAATATACTTCTGCATAAGGAAAATCCCTACTATCCCTTTCCCATCATCACCTATTTTCTAGAAAAAATCAGATTGGCCATTGGCACAGAAGTGAAATAATGCTGAAGTACTTTCCAGTGTTGTTACAGAGAGACAATCTGTACACGTAATTCTGTGAAAAATGACAAGATTTCATCTCATCCAGTGGACAGCAGCCACACAACCACAAACCATATGCAGAAAATGAGTTTCCCCCACACTACAGAAAAATATGCATCAGAAGAAAACTTACGTTCCGAAATGACTCAGGAAAGCTGCAATGTACTCTCTTCGCTTATGGTATCCCTGAATAACATATTGTACCTTAAAAAAGAAAGAAAACAAATCCTTGCTATATAAAGATTAAAAAACCCAAAGCCCAGTTTGCCATATATTTCTTGTTAAGGAAGATTTATGTTTGACATGGTAGAAGTTCTGAATCCTACATTTAGCATGATTTCCCTAAAGAATCCTGAAATGCCTTTAAAACAGACTCTGGACGTTGCACACAGAATATCTTGTAAAGAAATCTCTTCAATCATGTCTGAGTAAAACTTAAGTCTTTCACAATAGACTGAAGCACTGTTTAACTGCACAAGACAAAGACTGAAAGAAAGAAATGCTCAGCATTGCCTTACTGAAGTTTGAGAGTAGAAATCTGTGATAGGCAAATCAGTTATCTGAACTGACACTAAGCTAAGTGTCAAAATAACATTCTGGTTATAAAAGAGAAGAAAAAATTAAATTTCTTGCACAACTGATCTTGGGTGTTTTCTGAAGACTGCACCTCCAACAAGATCTTCTGAACATTAAGCTCTTTCACTGGTTTCATGCTGACTCAGGGAGCCACCTACTCAACTACAAGCAACAGTTTCTGAGGTACTCTGGGTTTTGAAAGACTTCTATCCTGGCACAGAGAAAATCCAACAATTCTAAATTTGGAGACTTAAGGCAAAATTCTCCTCACACCATGTATGTTTTCTCATTAATTTGGGTGGCATCACTTAAGAGAACAGTGTGAGCAGGGTTTGACCCATAACAAAACCGATGCATGTGTCACCAGGCTGCAAGGACATCTGGTTTACAACTGGTGACTTGAAAGTAGTTATGGTATGGTTCTATATGTGATTCTCCATGTAAATTCCTTTGCTTTCCAGAATAAAAACTAGCATTTAGGAACATTTTCTCCCTCACTGAAAAGAACAGGAAGAGTATTTTCTTGGCTATGGCAATACTAACATTACTTGGCTGGCAAATGCTTTCCTAAAATTACTGAAAAAGTCTTGATACAACCATTGCTGAGAGCTGCCTTGTATAACTTAAATACTATTTATAAACTCAAACATTGTATTTTATAAAACACTAAGATTATTTTGAAGGCTTTGTGTAGGATCTGAAATGTTATTTTGGGAAGAGGAAAACATACGATAAGTTTGCTTAAGTGACTTCGTTTAAGAAAGGATAAAAACAGCCCGGTGTACTTGCAGATTTTAAAAACAGAAAGTAATTTTAACAGAAAACCACAACAAAAACAACTCTAATGATAGATTCCAATATAATTATGAAAATAGATTCTGAAGAAACTTTTTCTAAAAGATAAAATTATTCTCTTCATTTAGACAATTGAAGGTAAAAATAATATACAAATAGGAAGTCTGTAATAGGTAAATTTCTAAATGTTGACCCCTAAGCCTTCTTTAGAAAATTATACTTAAATAATGGTGAAACTTTCAAAATACTATAATCCTTCTTTTTTGTTTAAACAGTAAGCTAACTGGAACACAACCTTTTCAGCAACCTTAAGTAGCTATTGCTGTATAAACATCCCAAGAAACTGCTGATTCAGTTCATCTGGATGAAACATCTGAGAAGAAAAATAATGGAAAGTACTCAAAACCTACAATAATGACTGGGGTATGAGAACTTGCAACTAGAACAACAATATGCAAATTACACATCTGTATTTACTAAAAAGCAGTATACTGCAATGCAGTGTTGTACAATACAATAACATTTTATCCTAAATCATAACATATCACAGTAAGAAAAAAAACTGCTCTGGGATCTAATCCCAAACTCACTTGTTTACCTAAAGGAGTCATTCCATTCAATGTCATGCTCAGGTGCTCAGCTCTTACCAGCAAGGTATTCCCTGTGTAGTTCAGCCTAAGTATGCCTTGCTTTGCATACCTGGCAGAAGAATAATGATGTCTGTGAAAATGCAGCACAGTGCATAAGGGAAAGGAAAGCTGATTGTCTGCAGCAGTTTACCTTGTTAGTTAGGAGCTGGCATACTTGGGGTACGTAGTCGATGAGACAACCTCCACCAGGAAAGGCTGGGATGTGAAGGGCAGATGATCCTCCAAGCGCACTAGAAAAATAATTTAAGAATGCATTACATGTACAGCCCCTGAGATTTGAAAATTATTTCTGCACAGTCCTCTTTCCCTATTCTTGAAGTCAGATGGCCAAGAGGAAGTGTATTTTATGCTGTGGTGATAATAAAAGTATTGAGCGATACCATCTATAAAACAGGTTATACCATGACCCACTGTAAATTAACCACTTAAATCAAGAGTATCACTAACACAAAACATTCTCTCAGGAAATAGCTTTTTCATTGTGAACAGTTCTGCTTCTTAGCCTTTATCAGTAAGATGTGGAGTACTGTAGTTCAGACATCTTGTTAGTGGGGGAGGAGAGGACCTGAAGTCCTCAGATATTCCAAAATCCACCTTCAAACCAGCTAAGAATAATCAAAATAATTAGGACTGAGGAGGATAGATGGCCAGATGCAAATATCAGTTATGTCATCTACTCCAGTTTTGGATTTCCCAATAGAACACAGATGTTAACCTATTAAATCAAGGGGGGAGTGGGTCAGAAAGATTATCAGGTACATGATGATGTAAGAAGGATGGTGAAAGAAATGGATTTGTTCAGTCTTCAGAGAACACTGCAGAGGGGGGATACTGAGAAGGGAAGCAGAAAGCATATTGATAACTTCAATTATCTAATGGAAAATTATAGAGGTGGTGAAGTCAGAGGCTTCTCTGAAGTGGGACTCAGTGGTGCTATGTCCTTGGAGGTGCTCAAAGCTCAGCTGAAAAACAGAGGCTATAAGCTCTGAGGAGTGGCTTGGCCAGATAAGCTCCTTCTTGCCAATCTACATTGGTTTATGATTATAGTCTATGAGTCTATGATTTTGTTCATGCCCAGTAGAAAATTACAAAAACAAAGATATTAATTCTGTCCATGCACATACTGGACACCTGAATGGTAGGAAATCACAGAAATAAGGTAACTTCAGAGATGTATTTAGGCAGCTTAACCATTTGCCTCTATCAAAGGACAGAAGACTGAAGCACACCTGCTATTACTCAGAATAATGGCTTCTTTGGTGTGGAAAGATCTAACACTTATTTAAATCAGACTGTATAAGGCAACAACTAAGTAAAGTCCATGCTACTTCCTTCTAGCAGTACTGACCTAAATCTTTCTTTATAGTCCCTTACCAAATCAAAATTTGCATTACATACTGTGGATTACATCATTCACTAACCATCCAGAACCAACCTGGACACCATAAAAACGCCTCAAGAGCTAATTTACTTTGTGTGGCCTCCTGTTTACATGCTGTTTCCATGACAAATTACACTGGATAGAAAGAGAAGTTCTTCTCTGCAAAACAAGTCTTTTACTCTCCTACAGGATCTGGCCTCTTATTTTCCTCACTACTTGATAAGAAACCACTTTGCTAGGTATAAAGGTCTACAGTCATGCATCCCTTTGAAGGAACAGAGTCTACATAAATCAAAAAAATCCCAAACTCATAATGAGGTATATGGAAATCTGCTACTCAGGCAAAACAGTCTGGGTTTAGCAGACTGTTCACCACATGGAACAGTTCTGCAGGTCTGGATTTTGCATATGCAATGATGAGAAAAAAAAAGTCCTCAGTACACCACAGCAACACAAAAAAACAAACAAACTTTTCTAGCAGAAGTAAGACTTGAATGGGATTTTTTTAAACAGAATTCAGTTTCCTTGCTACTACCCCCTTACTAAAATTATTCACACAAGAATATAATTTTGCAACTTGTGGATGGTTGAAAGCACTGAAGTATGACTAAGATGATTAGAAAGTTGGAACATTTCTGAAACAATATGTTCTTACAAAATTGCAGTATAGCGGGTCCACTGATCTGTAACATTGGAGAATGGAAAACTTGACCTCTGGTATGTTAGAAGTGGGTTGTGAACCTTACTTTAGGACCCTGACTTCCAGTTTATTTAACTCCTTACACATTATGTAAATATATCCATAAAAGCCTCCAATCTCATACACAAGCAACTGGCACTGTCCAAGTTCCCTAGCAGCATGGACATAGCACTGAAGATGCTCAGATGACTACAACAGGAATTACTGGTTTCTCTCCCAGTTACAATAGCAGCTATGAAATTAGAAGTCATCTCTAACACACTACACATGCAAAAAAAGCTTCCACTCCTATATCATCAGCTTACAATACATCTTCCAGATGGAATTATTATGATTTGTGAGTAAGGGTTTCCCATTTTACCTCTATCCATCTTTTGAAAGTAGCCATCCTGTAAAAACGCGTTGACATAAATGGAAATCCTGCCCTCCTCAAATGAAAAACAGACTGCTAAAAGGTGTGGTTTCTGAGAAAGAGGTCCCTCCACAGAAAGAAGGCTGGAATTTCTAGTATAATTATCCTCTGAAAACAGAATAAAGCTGTACCATCTGTAATTTATATTCTGTAGAAATAATTATGGGTAGGGAAAATTAAGAGTGGACAGGCGTCTCTGTTCCCTCTATTAGGTCAGAAATTCTGCTTATTAAATATTTTAATAAAATACTGCATTTGCACAGGACCTTGCATACGACCATCTCAAAACTGTCTGTAAACATTTAGCAATTAAGATTCATATGCCTCATTAAACTGATATTTACCTTTTATTTTTAAACAGGTGAAGAAGCTTGAAGTTTGATTTGACTGTGCTGTACTACAATGTCTGTCATGTTAAAGGAACATATTTGCCATACCTCACAACCCTGAGACCAGGCAAGAGGCCATAAAAATTCATTTGACTTATAATAAACCTGCAACTGAAGAAAGAAGAGACTTCCACAATGCCAAAGAAGGACCTGTAAAGGGTGCAAAATGGAGACAACTGGGCAAGGGAATGTCACCATGCAGCTCAATATCTAAGGCTGCTTTTTGAGGTACCTCACAGTCCAATGAAAAGAAAAAGTGCCAAACAAAGTGCTGTAAGTGCTTTTATAGTGAAGGGCATTCGATTTGGCAAAGTATTTCACCAGCACGAGCTAAAGATTGTTGCATGTCAAATCTGCTTTCCAGATAGTTGGGCCTCGGAGCATAGATCTTAAACACTTCTGTTTGCAATCAAGCTTTCCTTCTCAGTATCAGTGCTATACACACCTTAAAAAAAAAAAAAAAAAAAAAAACCCAAAAAAAGCACGTTCATTTTATCACATCAACAAAAAATGTTCAACAAAAAGCATCAAGAGATATGATGAGGAAGCACATACAATTGCTCCCCTACAGCTGCCAGAGTAAGGCTAGTTTCAGTACAATCAATTGAATTGTGTTTGATTTTTACACTGTTTTTTTCCAATAAACTGCTACTTTTTAAAGGCTAGAATTCAAACAGTCTGGTATTTTTTGTAATTTTAACAATTCATGAAGCAACAGTCTTAGGGGATGCTATTTCATTTCCCCTAGTACCAGATGAAGATTAAATACACAGCAGATCTACCTGTCTCAGAGATAAGGCTATACAAACATGCTGGAACAAAGACCTGCTGGCCTCAGAATTTTATTTGCTTTCTCTTACTCTAAGCCTACTCAGCTCTGCAAATCAACCTCATACATCTAATTTTAAGACAGAGCAGAGGCTCCTTGCAGTAAGGTCCTGTTCTCCTGGATGTCCAGAGTCAGTCACAATGTGATCTGATCCATGGTCTGGAAATTAAATTGCATTTTGTGAGGAACTCACTACTGAATTCAACAAGTGCAGCAGTCAGCCTGCATTACAAATAAAAGTTTTGTTCTGTGGCATGCTGAAATACAAGTTCAGAAAGCATAGCTGGAGTATGTTTACATTTCTGCTGTTGACTGGTGCATTCCAAGTTACTTGCTCTGTCTCTCAATGGACCTATTTATTGAGACCAACATACAAAATGCAACATTCTACCACATTTTTTGATAACTTATAATTAATTAAAATGTCTTTCTCAAGAAATCATCCTCAATAAATAGCTTAGCATTAATTCACAAGTTTAGAGAAGTGACTGTTTTTGTTCTTGATTATTTAAAGGTAAAGAAGCAGTTATTTACCCATCACTTCATTAGGGAAGAAGGGTACTTGCAAGTTTCAAGCTCAGAAGACTGAATGCTTTAGCAAGGAACACTTACAGGCATGTAGACAGATGCTCTTACTCCTATCCCTACCCCCTTCCCTACAGCTCTTAGGCCTGCCTAATTCCCCTGAACTCCTTCATTCTCATCACCTCTTCTCTGCAGTTCATTTTGCTTCCCCCTCTCTCCAAAGAGAAAAAAAATACAGGTTTCTCTAGACTGCTGAGAAACTTTTCACCTAAGTCTGGAAAATGAGGATTATTTCAGACCACTCTCTACATCACATTTTAAAGAGTTAAGTACTAACACAGGTTATGCTACTACAACTAAGGACCTGTGCACATATAATAAAGTTTATATTTTTTGCTCTCCCTTTACCTGTTCCCATTCCCCATTTTCAAAAATTGCATAAGCTTTTCTGTGAAACAAACATCACACAAAAAAAAAGAACATCAACAGAAAAGCTATACTCTTAAAATGAGGTACCTTTTTTGATAAGAGGTTTTTTTTTAGGGAGAAAAATGTGTATTTAGGTGAGGAGATTCAGAACTGTAAGAATCATACTTATCCTGAATACAGTGTGATATAGCATTAACAGCTTTATATGAAAAGAAAGCAGTACATAATATTGACTGCACTCAACATTTTTAACTCAATTCTTTCTGCAAAACACACAGAAAACAGGGAAAAGACAAGTTCAATGATTGTGAATGATGGAGTTATAGATTAATCTAACTTTGACAATGTAAACAATTGCCTCTGAGTGGAAAGACCTTTTATATGGGTTTAATTATGAGCTTTTCTGTCAGTGTGGCCAGTGTTAAAGCATTGTCAAATCTATGTACCAGTGATGGAAAGTAGACTTTACACTTTATAGACGATAGCCCTTTCTTTTACCAACTCTCTGCAATACCTGCTGTATTTTGAAACTGAAGCACACTGCAGACATGAGCATTTAAAGGGT